GTACTTTTTGTATTAAAAATAAAAATAAAAGAATAAAATTAGCTGTGCAAAATTTTATCGGCGCCTATACAAGTCGATTCAAAAAAACTGTAAGTGGAATACTGCACAATAAGCCAAGAAAACGAATAATTTTATCGGCACAGAATATTTTTGCAGCCGACAGAAATATCTTTTGCCACAATATTGCTATTAGTTGCAAACAAATTATTAAACATATTTTTCGACTTTACTTTATTTTATTTTTTCTTACCTAGAATAACTGTGATCCAGAAATATATGATTTCTTTCGTCCTGCATTGTATTCACAAACTTTGTTCACAAGTAAATGTTTTCATTTCAACATTGCGTGTGGTACTATTTAGTACTTTGCATTTTTGATATTCCATTAAACGCACTTATTTAAAAATGAATATGCCAGTATGGCTGCACCCATAGTGTAAATAAGAAGAAGCAGTGTCTATTTAGCAACTGCATACCGGTGGATGTCATATACTCCTCAACGAAATGAACAATACAATTACCGAGCTTCTTGAAGCTATTGACCAATCGTTTGGTTCCTGAGAAACGTTTTTTCACTCCAATTGGTGAATTTGTTAACTTTCTCATTTGTTAACTTGGCCGCTGTGCCGTCAGTTATTCGCATCGATATTGTAATTTTTTCCTGAAATGAAATGCACAAATAAAATGTCAGCATAATATAAATCATTGTTGTTAACTGGACATTGTTCAATACTCACTTCCGTTCCCGATTTAATGTGTTGTCTTGAGAAAATTAGATCGAATATAATACGAAAATCCATTTGAATTGAAACTTCGTTTATTTTATTTATAGAGTAAAAAATGTCTATGTCAGAGATCCAAATGCATTGATGCACCACTATCCGTTTTTTCATCAAACGATGGCGGATATATTTTGCGATGACACTTTTTTCTTTTGCAACGTGTGTGACAACTAGCAACATATATATACAGATGCATTTATGGACTGAGTCCTCGATAAAAACTAAAAAAAACTTTCCGATGCAAATTCTAATTGTTGAACGTTTATTATTTTAACATATTTTCTGTAAAGGAAATTATGGCTTATTTACTAAAAATTATCTAATTTCATGCAAACTTTCAAGTGTTTTATAACTTGTTGACTAGGGAACACTTAGTGCAAATTAATGTTCTTTATAGTTTGAGGTAATATTCATAATTGGCAGTGCTTTAGTATACAGGTGTGTCAAAAATTTTCGGGCCTGATATAGAAACACACATTGTATTTTCAAATGACTATATTTATTATTCAAAGTAGTCTCAATGAATGACACTTTCATAACGATGCTTTAATGCTTTATTTCCTCCTTCAAACCACTTGGCATCTTTGTCCTCCCATACGTTGAAAAAATCGTTCAATATCTCTTCTTCGGACTCATCTTGCTTCCCCTTCAGATATCTTTCGGTGTTTGGGAACAGGAAATAGTCGTTGGGGGCCATATCTGGAGAATACGGCGGAGTTGTTCGAACCCACAGCAGCTTGTGCGAGCAATGATTTGTGAGACGGTGCATTGTCCTGCAAAAGAAGAACTTTTCGAGTCAGCAAACCAGGACGTTTTTCTGTGATTGCTTTACGCAATCTATGCATCTGTTGTGCATATAAATAGCCCGTGACTGTGGTGTTCTTTGGGAGGAATTCAACCATTATTATGCCTTTGGCATCCCAGAATACAGAGGCCATTACTTTGTTTGTGGCAATTTCTTTGCGTGGCACTTTCGATGCTGGTTCACCAAGTTTGTGTCATTCCATCGTCTGTGATTTGAGCTCTGGATCTAGTAGTGGATCCACGTTTCATCGCCAGTCAAATGTGTCCGTTTCATTCCATTCCAACAACTCGAGAAACTCACGTGCAGCAGCAATTCGTTCTTCTTTTTGAGCTCTGTTCGAAGTTCTTGGAATCCATCGTGAGCAAACCTTTCTCATGTGCAATTTTTCATGAAGTATATTGAATACACTGCCAGTTGAGATGTCAAACATTGCTGCTAACACTTTCTTGCTCATTCGAGGATTTTCGTGCACGAGATGATCAATTTTCTCCAGCACATCTGGAGCAGTTGCTTTAACTGGCCGACCTGTATGTGGATCATCTTTCAATGATTCTCTGCCCAACTTGAAGCTTTGCCCATTCTTTGACCCTGGTATACGATGGAGCAAGTTTACCATAAACAGCACGTAAGCGGTCATTGATATCTTTTGGTGCTATACCTTCTTTTGTGAGAAACTTAATCACCGCACGATATTCGATTTTATCCATTTTTCTAAAAATATCGAAGTTGCTTGATATATAATGTTGTAGAAAACAAACGATGACAGATATCAACTCAATTTTTTTACACAATACTGATGACAGTTCGTACTTCAATTACAGCACATGAACAATTTGTAACTAGTGCCGTCTTTATGTCAGGCCCGAAAATTTTTGACACGCCTGTAGAACGTACAATATATAGATCTCTTTTGTTTCTTTTATGCATTTAATGTTTATCGTTTTTCATTATGGAATGTTTCATAAGCCGATCAGATTTTGTGTTTCGCGTGAGTCAATGATATGAAGATTTATGGATTTATTATGCAATATTGCAATAGGATTTCCATTTTAAAGTTGTTAGTGAAAATCTCTTCCAAAAACCAATCATGCTATAGACTAAAATCATAAATGTGTGGTCAGCGTGTAATACGTTTTAATCAAAACAATATCAATTTCATCATGAATCCCTATTATCCGTATGCATTACGGTTTCAACATACGTATGAAGGTATGGTATTAATAGTAGACAAGCAGACCGCATCCAAAATGCCGCTGTACGTTATTCGAAATATGATTCGCTTACGTTTGTCCGTCGAAAAGTAAGCAACAGACAATTGAGAAAGGGAATTTCATTGATTAAATTGGAAAAAGTGAAGAGCGATTAAAAACGTGGCTACAAATTTGGTTTATCACCGAGGATGAACGCCATTGGTTTGGTCTCAATTAAAAATACCATATTTGTTTAACTAGATCAAGCGAGTTTGTGATGTATCAAAAGCGATAAAAATTTAACGAAGTTCAATCCAAATCATTTTCACTGAAAATTTTCCATATACATATGTTTTACATATATATTGATAATTGATGCAGGTGGACTTGACAATGAAGAGACAAAATGCGAATCTTGATTGTCCACGCCATCTCTAACGTCATCACTGAACTTCAATTTAGTTCTATTAGTTTAAAATAAAGGAGTAAAAAACGGCATATACTTAATGTTAATGTTGTGTTTTCTCTTCTCCGGTTCAATGCAATAAAGTTGAACTAACAAGGATACATCACTATGGGTTGCAGGCGTTGAGCCAAACGAAATATACCACGGTGTAGGCCTAGGCCTGACTACCTACGCCACATATCCCATTTTGGCCCATGGGAGTAATTTTTTTCGCTACAGCCTTTGGTAGTTTTCATACTAGAAGGCATTTGGAAGAATTTTAAAAACAACTTGCCGATTATTTCTTTCAACTGAAAGTTCGTATTGGAGGGTTTTTTGGCACGAGAAAGCCGAATCTGCTCTTTATTTTGCAATACAATCACGTTTAAATACACTTTCCCTACAAAAATTTACTTTTTTTTGACAAAAATCCACCATTGTGTACTAATAATGTCACATCTATTCAAAGTTTCTTGGTTTTTTGTGGCTAGAAACATTTTTAGAGTAATAATGATGCAATTACATCTTGTATTTTTAGTCATTTGATCGTTCGTCATAGCATGAATATCGTGAATTTCATTGAAATGAAAAGTAAATGAACGAATGATCAAAAAGTTCATAGTAGGAAAATCAACTTTTCAAAGTGCTCCAACGACTCAAATCGATTCATTTTCATCCAATAAACAATTCTAATTTCATTTGAATTTAATCTGACTCGATTTTCATATAGGCCACTATGGCTGTTTTGATATCTAGAATGTACATACTAGAAGTACTAAAAAACCATTTTTTTCTGATTGACGTTTGAATGTCATATACTACTTATACCGGCAAAAGGACAGATACACCGAACTGTGTATGGTGAATGGAATCGTATGAAAACAAGTGCGTTTAAGTTATTGTTCGTTATTTGTTTGTTTAACAACGTTTTTCAAGTTTGTTAAGTTTCGATTAACTTGAAAATGTGGAAACTGGAAATGTGGTATTTTGGATGGCAATCCACCAAATAATCCAAATAAGTTCTTTCCGACCAGACATTATTATTCAGATATTTTCAAAGAGCTAAATCATCTCAGGCGGATATCGTCAGATGATGAAATCGAGTAAAAACAATAGAAATGATTGTTATAGTGATTTTAGCATTGCAAGTGTTTGTATAACCATAACAATCACTTCTATTGTTTTTACTCGATTTCATCATCTGACCGCCTGACAAACCCGGTAATATGATGACTATTGTCCGTTCCCAAATCTACGACAATGCCATCTCTTGTTCCCCATTTTAATATACATTCAAAAAGGTTTCAAGTCTAGTCCCGACTATTTGAAAAATCCTATTAAAACAAAACTTGAAACTATTTTTTTGAATTAATTTTTTTAATTTTCGTCGATTTTATGGAGTAAAACATATAGAAACAATATATACAGACAAACATCACACTTTATAACAGAAGAACGAAACATGCTGTGTATGAAAATACTAATACATGTGCGCATGCTCAGCTTCGTTTCTGTGATGACCACTTTAAGCGTACATGTGATGCTTGTGTATGTATTGTTTCTTTAATCTCTACAGTGTACTGTCAATTTCGCTACTTCAAATCGATGGCAATTAATAATAAAATGAATTTTGTATCAACAAATGATTTTTAATATGGTTTCAATGATTTAAATGAGGATTTTTTTCAAAAAAAATGTGGGATTAAAATTAAATACTTTTATTTTATTTCAAATTAAAGTTAACATTTTGTCACACAAATAGCTACTGCTGTGTAACCAAAGATGGCGTTTTCGGTTTAGATGCCAGTGACGTTTACATATAAAAATGTCAACGCAATCCCCGGTTACGCCTGACATGATTGATTGAACTTGCGAAAATTGTTCGAAATGTTTTTTGTCGTATCGCATATGCCGATATCTGAAAACATCTGATTTGTTAAGAATAACAGATATCTCTTTATTAAATTTTCTGACAATAATTTGTTTTATTCAGCTCGGCAAAAATGGTTTCTTTTTTGAACTCGATTCAAAAATCTACCATGTCAATCGCGGAACAATGGTTCGACTAAAATTGGATAAGCCATTTGGTCTCAAACCAAATGAAATGACACTGAATGTATCGTATTCGGCAAAACGTTCACACGATGGTGACAATTCAAAGAAAAAACGTAAATTGACAAATTCGATTCCAGAACCTCCGATACGTTTTTACATATCTATTGAAAATATCGAGAGGAGAGTATGGTACTTTTCCGCACACATAGTGTAAGGTGAAAAGTATTGTAATCGGTCAAAATTTTGAAAACTTCAGAAACATGTTTTCTACCTATTATTGAGGTCAGAGAACACGAATTTGGCGTTTTTAAACATGGTTCTTGTTAATCTGTACGTCGTTCGTTGTACGTCGTACGCAAAATTTGTTAGCAAGATTGCGCTCATCGTAGAAACTTAATTCAAAATCTGACTTTACAGGATGATTGGGGGTCGCGAGGAATAGAAATCATTAGATTTTGAGCGACTTTTGTTGATGGAAAAAAATTTCATGCCTGGAGTGATACCTAGGAAAAAGAGTCCAATTTTCGTCCAAAATTCATACTTTATGTAGACTTAAACACTCAAAAATATCTATTGAGGTTTTTTTTGGCACGATAAAACCGAATCCGAGGTTAGTTTTGAGATACAATCAATTTTTGATACAGTTTCCTTGAAAAAATCACAAAAAATTGAATTTTTGTATGGGAGCCATGCCTGTATGCTACCTTAATGACGT